CCTTGGAAACTCGATTGTTGTTGTTAATTGTTAAGTTGGTTCCGACCCATAGCGACCTTCTTTAGGGTTTCCGAGGAGCAGCTGGTGAGCTTGAAACGCCCACCTTGCAGTTCAAACTCCCACACCAGGACTCCTGAAACTCTGTATAGGGTTGCTAATAGTGGATGGAACAGAATCAATGGCACTTAACAATTCACCACTTATAAAAGTCCTTGTTAGCATCTGATAATTTAGCCTTTCCCTATTTTTTATAGTTGAAATCATATTGTAAATAAATTTGTATTTTTTCATTTAGTTTGTTATAAGCGTTTTCTCAAGTTATTTTAACAGTTGTTGTAACAGGGATTTTGCTCATTCACCTGTTGATGGTTTAGTTTGTTTGCATTTTTGTGTGTGTGTTTTTATAAATTATGTTGCAGAGAACAATTTCTGTGCACAAATCTATGTCCTATAGGAAAAAAACCAATAATGAAGCTTTTTTTCTAGATAGCTGCATGATTTGCTCCCTAGGGTAAAGATGAAAATTCACCCTAGCAGACTATAAATTTCACAGAAAACATTTTTGTTTTCATGTGTACTGTTACATCCTTTCACCACTAGAATTTTGAGCAATTGCATCCATAAGCAAAAGTCTAGTTCATCAAATTGTATTAATTTACACTGTGTTAGACACTAGACATTAACATAATTTGCACTTGCTCACAGTATCAAACATCTTTATCTTCATCTGGTCAAGTTCTGGTAGGCTAGCCATCAAGACGGGTCAAATGGATACTAGCTGCAAGTTTGGGCATTCATGCGTACCTCCTTGCACTGCAGAGTAGCTGGCCGCTTCACTCTCAGCTCTAGCTCCCAATGCCTAGATCAGAGCCCCTAGATTCACAAGTTCACACATCTCCCTAAACTTCAGAACAGCCAGCCTTCCTTCTCTCATCTCAAGATCAACAGATTTCAACGGAACAAGTCCAAACTCAGCCCAGGTTTTCATTGCTGCATTTCACCCACTTCTACTCACAAGTAGACCCAGGTGGTCACCATCGACCTCTGCTTATTTTTAATGTAAATATAGCCAAAGTATAAAAACCAAATGAAATATCAGGATGGTATATACCACTAACAGCATTTGATGAGAGCTTTGCTTTTTCAGTTTGGGCATTCAGTAAGTAGAAAGTTGTGGGCCATTCTTTACAATACTGAAATTTTGAACTAAGAAGGATACTTTTAACAGTGATTAGAACTCTAAATCTTTCTCCCTTTTAAAGGTTGAATTTCTTATTTCTCTCCATATAGTGTAAGTAACAGCCATAACTCACATATCATGTGGTGGTGGTTATGTGACGTGGAGCATTCTGATTCATAGCAACCCTGTATAGGGTTTCTGAGGTTGTAAATCTTTACGGGAGTAGAGAGCCTCATCTTTCTCCCTTGGAGCAGCTGGTGGATTCAAACTTCTGACCTTGCAATTAGCAGCCCAGCTCGTAATAAACTATGCTACCAGGGCTCCTTCACGTAATCAAATAGTGCTTGACAATTTAGTACTACAAATTATTTAGTTCCTGTCTCTGGGATTATTAAGTCATTAAACAAACTGAGGCTCATTGTTAAATGACTTGTCCCAGGTCACAGGGCCAATTGTTGGAAGTGAGATACAAACTTCATAAAACTGATAAAAATTAAACTGGCTGAAAATGGAGAAATGATACTTAAATTATGCATTTGTGAACAGTAGACACATTTTGTTGTTGTTATTGTTGTTAGGTGCCATCGAGTCAGTACCTATTCATAGCGACTTTATGCACAGCAGAATAAAATGCTGCACAATCCTGGACTAACCTCACTACTGTTGCCACGCTTGAGTGAGTCCATTGGTGCTGCTGGTTGGCTAGTCTATCTTGTTGGGGGTCTTCCTCTTTTTCTCTGACCCTCCACCTTACCAAACATGATGTCCTTCTCCAGTGACTGGTCCCTCCTGACAATATGTCCGAAGTATGAGAGACGAAGTTTGGCCATCTTGGTCTCCCAGGAGCACTCTGGCTGCACTTCTTCCAACACAGATCTGTTGGTTCTTTTGGCAGCCCATGGCACTTTCAATATTCTCCTCCAACACCATTACTGAAAAGCATCAATTCTTCTACAGTCTTCCTTATTAACTGTCCAGCTTTCACATGCATATGAGGTTATTAAAAATACCATGGCTTGGGTCAGGTGCACCTTAGTCCTCAGGCTGACATCTTTGCTCTTCAACACTTTAAAAAGGTCTTGTACAGCAGATTTGCCTAATCAATACGCCGTTTGATTTCTTGACTGCTGCTTCCATGAGTGTTGATAGTTGATCCAAAAAGAATGAAGTCCTTGACAACTTCAATCTTTTCTCCATTGATAAAAATGTTGTTTATTGGTCCAGTGGTGAGGATTTTTGTTTTCTTTACATTGAGATGCAATCCATACTGAAGGCTGTGCTCTTTGATCTTCATCAGTAAATATTTTAAGTCCTCTTCACTTTCAACAAGCTACGTTGTATCGTCTGCGTATCACAGGTTGTTAATGAGTGTTCCTCCAATCCTGATGTCATGTTTTTCTTCATAGAACCCAGCTTCTCAGATTATTTGCTCAGCATACAGGTTGTGAATAAGTCTGTAAAAGAATACAACCTTATCACACACCTTTCTTAATTTTAAACCATTCAGTGTTCCCATATTCAGTTCGAACAACTGCCTCTTGGTCCAGGTACAGATTCCTCATGAGCACAATTAAGTGTTCTGGAATACTCATATTTCTCAATGTTGTCCATAGCTTGTCATGATCCACATAATCAAAAGCCTTTGCGTAGTCAATAAAGCACAGGTAAACATCTTTCTGATAATTCTCTACTTTCAGCCAAGATCCATCAGACATCAGCAATGATATCTCTTGTTCCATGGCCTCTTCTGAATCCAGCTTGAACCTCTGGAAGTTCCCTGTCAATGTATGCTTGCAGCCATTTCTGTGTTAACCTTTAGTAAAACTTTACTCGCATGGACTTTATCAAGATTGTTCAATGATTTCCGCATTCCATTGGGTTACCTCTCTTTGGAATGGGCACAAATGCGGATCTCTTCCATTCAGTCGACCAGATAGTTTTCTTCCAAATTTCTCGGCAGAAATGAGTGAGTGCCTCCAGTGCCGCCTCACTTTCTTGAAGGATTCCAATTTTTATTCCATCATTTCCTGGTGCCTTGTTCTTTGACAATTCCTTCAATGCACCTTGGACTTCCTCTTTCAGTAGCATTGGCTCTTGATCATATGCTATCTCTTGAAATGGCTGAACATTAACCATTTCCTTGTGGTACTGTGACTCTGTGTATTCCTTCCATTTTCTCTTGATGCTTTCTGAATCATTCAGTAATTTGCCAAGAGAATCTTTCAATGATGAAAGTCAAGGCTTGAATTTTTTCTTCCAGCTTGAGAAATGCTGACCGTGTTGTTCCTTTTACCCCCACTTAATTTATAATACCTTTGTCATTGTCTGTTACTCAGTGCTTGCCTAGTAATCAGGTCCCCATGAGTAGGAATTAACCTGATGGCAGTGGATTTTAGCTGCTCAAGGAAAGGAACCTTAGTAGCACAAAGGGTAAGTGCACAACTACTAATAGAAAGGTTGATAGTTCAAAACCATGGGAAGCAGACATGACTAGCTGATCTTAAAAGATTACAACCCAGAAAATCCCTATGGAGAGTTCTACTCACATATTTCACTCACTGAATCAAAGTGAACTCCACAGTAACTTACACCAGCTGCTAATGGAACTATAAGGGTCTGCCAGAAATGATCCTAAGTGAAGAAGGAAGGACATGTAAAGGAATGTTTCATAATGTTGCTTTACCATTTTTAATGGAAAAAATACTAAAATAATTGTACTTTACACTCTTAAAATGGTAAAGCCTTCATTTAATTAGCATAATCTGATACAAATACGTAGTCCTAATTGTGCTGGAGGAGAATATTGAAAGTGCTGTGAGCTGCCAAAAGAACCAACAGATCTGTGTTGGAAGAAGTGCAACTAGAGTGCTCCTTGGGGGCCAAGAGGGCCAAACATCGTTTCTCATACTTAGGACATATTGTCAGGGACCAGTGACTGGAGAAGGACATCATGTTTGGTAAGGTGGAGGGTCAGAGAAAAAGAGGAAGACCCCCAACGAGATGGATTGGCCAAGTGGCAGCATCGATGGACTCAAGCGTGGCCCCAGTAGTGAGGTTGGCCCAGGATTGGACAGTGTTTCGTTGTGCTGTGCATAAGATTGCTATGGGTTGGTACCAACTTGATGGCACCTAACAACAATAAATTTTGCCTTGGTAAACATTAACAGTTCAACATTACTCTTAGCACAATTAATTGAAACATTTAAAAAATATTAATAAAAGCAATAAAAATTCAGGCCATCTGACAATATTATTATAACTAGAATATTAGTGACATGAAATATGATAAATCAAATATAATTTTAACATTCTGGATTATATTTGGAGATAATCATGTATTAAATTATAATTAACTTGAATGCATAAGAAACTACCATTTAATAAGTCAGAATTTTAGAGAAATCTTCTATACTTCTGAATTAGTACAATTTTGGTTTGTAATTGATAGTACAGTGTGTTAAATGGTTGCAGTGATGAGTTTTGTGCAGCCAGGGCTGCTCTTTATTTAAGCTAAAACAGCAACAACTCATCTGTATCACTCAGAGTTCTACTTAGGCTATGATAGCTCTTAACCGTGAAATCATTGAGTCTTTAATAACTTTCTTAATAGAAATTTTCAAAGTATACAAACCTAAAACCAATACTTTAATGAACCCTTATATAAGCTTTTATCAATTTATTTCTACCCATAGCTGTTTCAACTGGATTATTTTATGCAGTTAGATTATTTTATTTGCAGATTACTTAGGAAATACGTTTTTATGAGTATAATTGTGGAAAAAAATTTTTATTTTTGGCAGAACATTTTGGCACCTAGATCATGGCAACTCTAGAAGAAATTGCACATCAAATTATTGAACAACAGATGGGAGAGGTATGTCTGTTCTACATCTCATTCACTGGCCTACCAAATGTTTATTACTTACACTAAATGTATATGTTATGTTCTGCACATACAGAGATGATAGGTATCTGTGACTTTCAGGTAGCTTTTCAGAGTCCTGAAAGACAGTTGAATAAACAAACAGCCACTGTGAGATGTTGTTAAGTGCTGTGATAAGTATGTTGTTGTTGTTAAGAGCCATTGAGTCGGTTCTGACTCATAGTGACCCTCCATAGGGTTTCTGAGGAACAATTGGTGGATTTGAACTGCCGACCTTTTATTTCGCAGTTCAGTACTGATCCTATAAGTGCCACACCAGGAGTCCATGATAATTATATAGGGTGTTATTTAGCATAGAAGAAAAACAGCTAAAAAAGAGTTATAAAATAATGTGGGGGTGTAGGGAACCAAATCAGGGCATCAGGGAATATTTCTGGAGAGCATGAAATCTGAGGCCAGTTGGAGTTAATCCATGTCAGTAGAAACAAATCTTCATTTAAAAATGCCATGTGGTATATCTTGGGAAAACCCATTGCTGGTGAGTCAATTTTGACTTGTAGTAACTATAGGATAGAGTAGAACTGCCTGGGTTTCTAAAACTGTTAGCTTTATAGGAGCAGACTGCCACCTCTTTCTCCTGGAGAGCTACTAGTGGATTAGAACTGCTAAACTTCTAGTTAACAGCCCAGTGCTTTAAACCATTATGACACCAGGGCTCTTTGTTTCTTAATGTTGTTAAGTGCCATCGAGTCGGGTCCAACCCATAGCGAACCCTGTACAGGGTTTCCGAGGGTGTAAATCTTTACGGGAGTAGAAAGCCTCATCTTTCTCCCGCGGAGCGGTTGGTAGTTTCGAACCGCTGACCTTAAGGTTCGCAGCCCGATTCATAACCACTACGCTACCAGAGCTTAATAAGAGGTACTATACGCCAAGAGTTCTCAAAATTTGACCTAGGTGCCCATGCAGAGAGTCAGCAAGGGCAAAACGGTTTCTCTAATAATTTGTTACTGTTAGGTGCCGTGGAGTCGGTTCCAACCCTGTGCATAACAGAACAAAACACTGCTCCAGTCCCTCTCCATCATCACAGTTGTTAGCTGGAGTCATGCAACTTTCATTGACTTCCATTTTGGTCTACTCCTTCTTTCTTGTCTTCTTGATGACCTTTTGCTTTCTTCCTATATGATGTTCTTCATGTCATTCCACAACTTTTCTGGTCTTCAGTTATTAGTGTCTAATGTATCAGCTCTGTTCTTGAGATGGTCTCTAAATTCAGGTAGATATGTTCAAGGTCATATTTTGCCTCTCATGGATTTGTTCTAATTTTCTTCAGTTTCAGCCTGAACTTGCGTATGAGCAATTGATAGTCTGTTCCACTCTGTCCCTGGCTTTGTTTTGACTAATGATACGGAGTTTTCCCACTGTGTCTTCCCACAGATGTAATTGATTTGATTTTTGTGTCTTCCATCTGGTGAGATCCATTTGTTATGTTGTTTTTAAAAGTTATTTGCAGTGAAAAAGACATTGGTCTTGCAGAATTCCATAATGCAGTCTCCAGCCATGTTTTCCAGTTATTAATCCTTCCTCTTGTTTCCAGCCTTTACATTGCAATCACCAGTAATTATAATTACACTCTAATTGCATGCTTAATCAATTTCAGACTGATGAAGTTGGTAGGATTCTTCAAGTTCATCATTAACTTTTGTGGTTGGTGTGTAAATTTGAATAGTGTTCTTCCATGTAGGATTAAGGGTATTACCCTATTGTAGATTCTTTTTGATGATAAATGCAGTGCCACTCCTGTTCAATCTTTCGTTCCCAGCATAATAAATCATAATATTGTCAGATTCAAAATGGCCAATTCCAGTCCATTTCAGCTCACTAATACCTAGGATATCGATCTTTATGAATTCATTTCATTCCATGTTCTGATTATTGATGGATGTTTACAGCTGTTTATCCTCATTGTGAGTTGTGGTCCATCATCAGCAAATAAAGGTCCCCAAAGCTTTATTCCATTCACATCATCATGATCAATTCTACTTTGAGGAAGCAGCATTTCCCAGGGCTCATCTTCTGGCACTGTATCTGACAGTCTCCCACTACTATCCATAAGGTTTTCAGTGGCTGAACGTTCAGAAGTCGGCCGCTTCCCCTTCTTCCTAGTCTGCCTTAATCTGGAAGCTCTGCTTAAACTTGGTCACTAGGGGGTCCCTACTCATATTTAAAATACCAGTGGCATAGCTTCCAGCATCACAGCAACACACAAGTCACCACAGTACAACAACTGACAGACAAGTGGTGGTTTTTGTATAGCTTTTTATAAGAATTCTAAAATGTTATTTGCCATTTTCATTCTAATCCTCTCCCCAGTATAGAGTGGACTTTTCCAGAGACTATCAATGTCACCTGATGATAATTTATGGTGAAATGTGTCAGCATTTTGAGGTCTGCATAAATCAGTGAACTATTGTTTTCTAATAGCCAATATGATGTTGTTGTTATGTGTCGTGGAGTCGTTTCCGACCCGTAGCAACCTTGTACAGGGTTTCCGAGGCTATAAATCTTTATGGGAGCAGAAAGCCTCAATCTTCCTCCCACGGAACAGCTGGTAGTTTTGAACTGCTGACCTTAAGGTTTGCAGCCCGATTTGTAACCACTACACTACCAGAGCTCCTTAATAGCCAAAATATAATGTTAGAAAATCATGTATTATTAAGGATTTTAATATGGCTTTGGGTTCTACATTGCAACTGTAACCTTTAAAAAACTATCACTTGTTGAATTTTGGAGTAATACCAAAGGATAATTTTCACAGTTAATGGAGAAGGCCATTAAAATATTTCCTCTTTCAAGCAATAATCTGAGCCTGGATTTTGCCATATACCTTGACCATAACGGCATATGGTAGCAGACTTGAGTACAAAGGGAGACATGAGAATACAGCTGTGTTCTATAAAGGCAGATATTAAAGAGATTAGCAAAAATATAATACAGTGCCAATTTCCCCACTACACTTGTCAAGTGTAAAGGGGTCCTGAACTACTTGTAAAATCTGCTCACTGTTCTCAATTGAAGATCATTCACATGATCTTAAGTTGTCAATGATGATAATTATGCTACAGTTACATCCATTTATTAACCTAAGCAGAATGCTTCTACCCAGTGACATCTGTATTCTGCATGGACCAAATTCTCCCTTTCTCGGAGATATAAGTTATGGCATTTAGTCTTCTATTTAAAACTCCTGATGTGGTGCTTTGGGTTAATGCGCTAGACTACAAAGTCGGTTTGAACTGCAAGGTCGGTGGTTCAAGCTCACTAGCTGCTCCTTGGAAACCCTGTATAGACTGGCTATGGACCGGAATCAACCCAACAACAATAATGAGTGGCAGAAATAATCCAAAATGAAACTGGTAACAATTTAAAGTACATATGGTAAAATTTGCTATAGATGAACTGATTCAAAGTCACATCTTATACGTAACACTGAAAATTGCCAGGCTTGTCAGGGTGGTGGAAACTGGACTTGGTAGTAGTAACCTTTAGTATAAGGTAAAATTGACGATAGTTAAACTTGAGGACATCAGTAATTTTGGTCACCAAAGAAAACTCAATTGGCAGATGCTGTAAACAGTACAATTTACTCTAGACAAAAACAAATTAGTGAATCAGAACTTGTTTTAAATTTTGTATGAAGAAGAATATTGAGAAAATAGTCTCAGGAAAATTAAAAAGGAAAAAAAATCAACTTTGCCATTTAAAAAATTAATCATGGCACTTGAAAGGACAAGCAGACCAGCCTGGAGCAGTCAGAAGAACAGAAGATACTTCTTGAAAGAAAGACCAACAGGAAAAATACAAAACAATAGGCAGTCCCACTGATTACTACAAGAACAAGCAACTTGTTCGCCCAGGAGACATCAAGCCAAGTGGTCAGTCCCTTCAGGGCAAACTCCCTTCAAAGACTAAGACTCAGTGGGAATACACGCTCTGATTGGTGACCACGTATGTCATCGATAAGGGGAAGTGAGGGAAAAACAGCAATGAAGCTGTGAGCTAAGCCCTACAATGTTCAATAGACTCCTATGAACCCGAGACGAGACCTGGTTGGCCAGCAGTATGGCAAAACCTGGGGACTCTTCAGCCCAGAGTCAGTGACATAGCTACAGAGGACTAGAGTGGAGAGTGAAGCTTCCAGCTGATAAGAAGAGAGGACATATGCATAAGAACACCCATACTTGCAAATAATACCCACTTAACCTGGCTTCAATGACTGGATAATCAGAGCTCAACTAGAAGAATAAAGAAGAGGGAAAAAAAGAGTAATCTGATACAATTGGATGAACTTGACCTATCCTACACCTCTATGGATGCACTAGCTCAAAAGATGGAACAAATCTTTATAGCAAGGATCATTCCCACCCCCTCCACACATGGAGAGGACAAGGATGGGCAACTTGGACGTTGGCTACCCAGAATGAGGGGGATACAGAGGCAAGAAGTGACTGGCTTACAAGCTTTCAAGAGGGAGCCTAGATCCAGAGGGTGCGGAGCAAGATAGAATCTCCACTGAGTAGTATCCAATCTGTCTAGGGGCCTAGGAAAGGAGATGTGGATAGGTCTCTTGAGATACAATGGTGAGTAATTGTTTCAGGACTGATTGTAAGGGCTGGAAATGTAAAGGTAGATGTTTTGTAGCAAAAGGAGGGAGGGGAGGGATTGATTAACTTTGCAGTCTAGGATTGTAGGTCTCTGGGACAATCAAAGAGAAGAGCGGAGAACAGAACCCTACCCAGAGAAGCAGTGAGGGCAGAGATGATGATGTGGAGAGATGGAGAGGCTGGGGACCTTGGACCCGGTGACTGAGAGGGGCTGTGTGCTGACGACTGTGGTTAGTGGATGATGCATGGAGTGGATTGTAACCATGGCAAGGAAACGATATACAATGGGATCAATGTGAAGCTAATGTTCTCCCATATATACTATCACATAACTCACAATAAAGCATTAAAAAAAAAAGCTAAAGTGGATAGAGAGAAATAATGTTAACTGATGGTACATGGAGGGGATTATAATCATTGTAATGAAACAAAGTGTATGATTTGTTGAATGTAAAACTGATGCTCTGCCCTATAAACTTACATTCAATCCACAATAAAAAACTTTAAAAAAAACAGAGGGGAGTGATTGATTTGTAGTCTAGGCGTGGAATTCCCTGGGACCATCAAGGGAGAAGAGCTGAGAGCAGGACCTTACCCAGAGAAGCAGTGATGCCAGAGATGGAGGCAGAGACGATGACATGGAGAGTGGAGCGGCTGGGGACTTTAAACCCAGAGAGGGAGAGGGGCTGTATGCTGATGACCAGGGGACAGGCTTGCAGGGTATACCCTTTGGTTGGTTGATGATGCATGGAGGGGATTATAACCATGGCAATGAAATAATATAGGATAGGATGAATGTAAAGCTAATATTCTCCAATGTAAACTACCACATAATTCACAATAAGACATTTTAAAAATAAAAAATTAATCATGGGATTAAACTGGCGTAATTTTACTCTCAAGATAAATGGAGAAAATATTGAGGTTGTCCGCAACGTCATTTTGCTCGGATCAACCATCAACACTAGTGGAAGTAGCAATCAAATTACATGATGTATTACATTGGGCACATCTGCTACACAAGACCTCTTTAAAGTGTTCAGAAGCAAAGATGTTAGTCTGAAGACTAAGGTACATCTGATCCAAGCCATGGTACTTTCAATAACCTCATATGCTTGTGAAAGTTAGACAATGAATAAGGAAGACCGTAGAAAAATTGATGCATTTGAGATATGGTGTTGGAGGAGAATATTAAAAGTACTATGGATTGCCAAAAGAACAAACAAATCTGTGTTGGAAAGAGTAAATTTTACTTTGGAAAACATTTGTTCAACCAAAACCCCCAATGGTGGGGTTGTTGTTACATGCCGTTGAGTCAGTTCAGACCCATAGTATGGACTTTCCAAGGCTGTTGATTTTTACAAGAACTGAAAACCTCATCTTTCTCCTGCAGAACACATGGTGGACTTGAACCACCAACCTTGTTGTCAGCAGTCCAGTGCTTATTCTACAGAGCCACTGTGCTGCTCCCCATTGTGTTTCTTGGTGAATCTTCTCTTCCCCAGACTACCCCATCTCAGTACATAGCATTGTTATTTTCCCAGTTGCTCAGGCGAGTATTCAGTAGTCCTTGATTCTTCTCTCTTCTTTGTTTTTGATGTTGTTAATTTCCAATAAGTCTCTTCTGACTCAACAACCCTTTATAGGGTTTCCATGGAGTGGCTGGTGAGTTTGTACTGACAACCTTGCAGTTCAAACTGACCTTGCAGTCCAGTGCTTATCCTACAACACCACATCAGGACTCCATTCTCTCTTCATTTGTTGTTAAGTGCCATGGAGTCGGTTCCAACTCATAGCAGCCCTGCACAGGGTTTCCGAGGCTGTAAATCTTTACGGGAACAGAATGCCTTATCTTCTACTGCAGAACAGCTGGTAGTTTCGAACTGCTGACCCTGCAGTTAACAGCATGATTCGTAACCACTACGCTACCAGAGCTCCTTCATAGTCCACATCTAATTTATCAGTACCTTTTCTTACCTCTACCTTCTAAAAAGCCCAAATCCACTTGCTCTTCACCTTCTGCATGACTCTTGCTCTATTCCCAGCTACTATCATTTCTTGCAAGTACTTCTGCAAAGCATCTTTTCTGATTTCCCTGGGTTATCCTCTTAAACCTTTACAAATCTCTTCTGCACACTAAGTCTGGAATGATCTTTCTTTCTTTTTTTTTTTTAAAAAACAGCTCATATTTTATTTTCTGGCACACAATAAACAACATACTTCTCCAGTGCCAACAGTATCCTCTTACCAAGACTTTTCATACAGAACTGGGTCTACTGGAAGCAAATTGTTTCTGATGAGGTTTCTGATGATCAGGAATCAAGACACAGAAGCCCAAAAGGCAAGAGATCTTTGTAGATAACATCCTCAAAACCAAGACATAGCAGATTTTACTTTCAAAGTAAAGGAGAAGCCTGCTACTAGACCCTTTTACCCATAAAGCATTTTACTGTGGGATGATCCATGTTGACTCCATGGAATTCTTCTCTACACAATTCCCTTCAAGTGGGATGAGGAACTAACTGCAAAACTTGCAGTCTTAAGTGTACTTTGAAAAATTCAAGGATAAAAAGTAGAACTCTACAGTTTATCATAAAAGAACGAGCAAGTTCCAGGAGTTTGTATTGTTTGTATAACAGAACACACAAAACCAGGCAGAGAAATCCCCAAGGAAGTGATGATGGTCATGCTTCACGGTTACACCTGCCCTTTGGTCCTTCATCTTTTAAGCACTTAGTATATTTTCTTATTGTAATATTAGACATTTTTTTTTTCACAAAAGCAATTCAAGTGTGAATAAATAAATGCGTTATCTTTTAATGCCTACCCCCATGTTCCTTTAAATAGCAAAAAGTGCTAAATTAAATCTTCTGATAGCCTGTTTGGCCACAGTTGTCCCATCTATGCTTTTAAAAACAGACTAGAACGTGGTCTTCCAAAATCATTCTTGGAACTATAGCTCATTCTGTTAAATCTTGGGGCACCAGTTCTATTGATACTGCTGATAGTCTCCAAAAGGTGAGGATGATAAATGTGTTGAAGGCAACTGGGAGGGATCTTCAGCAAACTGAGGACCATTGGGAAACTGCAGAGGTAAATCTTGTCAATAAGATACCAGCTCCTTCAGGTAAAGCTAGAAGAATGCCACCCATTCAGCTGTCCCAGCCATGGCCACTGGTCCATTTCTTGCTGCCAGTATGGCTCCTATTAAAGCACCACTTGTGATGGAGTTCCAGGGATCTTCTTTCCCTCGAACTTGAGCCATACTACAGTCTGTCATGGAAAACAGACCACCCCAAACTGCAAAGCTGCCTCCCAACTGTGGAACCCTGGTTTTAATAGCTGTCAAACCCTCATAGTCTGTGGTTGACTCCCACCGGAGAAGTCCGAAAATCTTTGCTTGAAAGATACCACCACCTATTGTGCCCATGGTAAAGACCCCACCACAGTCACCCACAGTTCACCAGGGGCAAGGTTACCGCACATACTCCTACATCTTGACTTGAGCTCCGCAAGCCTGGAATAATCTTTCTTAAAGACCCTATTAATCCTTGTTGCAAATCCTCTATTCCTGTCCATTTCACCCAGTCTGGGAAATTCAGACTTTGCATGGTCTACAAAGTCCTATCTGATCTGGCCTGAAGCTGTCACTCAGATTTCATCATCTACTCTACTCCCTCACTTTAACTTTCTTTCACTCACACAGCTCTCTTGATATGCCTTTTGCCTCAATACGCCCAATACACTCCCTCGTGCCTTAGGGCCTTGTTGTATTTCTCCTGCCTGGGATGCTCTTTCCTTGGTGGTCCTAAGCTGCAGTCTGTGTAAAATTTAAGACTTTGTAAAAATAATGATCTCTGGGGTTGTTGTTAAAGTGTCATTGAGTTCAGAGTTTTATGCCATCTCTCTCTCTCTCTCCCTCTCTCTCTCTCTCTCTGTTTCTCTCTTACCTTATCTTGCTTTTTCATTTTAGCAAGTTAATGCCACCTGATAATATGAGGGCACTTCAAAAAATTCATGGAAAAATTTCATTATCTTTTAATGCCATTTTCCTATAAACTTTTTTAAGCCCCCCTCATGTAATTATTTGTCTCTGTCTTTCTTGACTTAAATGAAAGCTTCAGTGATTTTGTTTTGTACCCTGCTAATACCATGGGAAACAGAATTGTGCTTGGCTGATAGACTGTACGTAATATATATTTTTCTAAGGCATTTCTTCCAAAATGGAAGGATGGAGAGAGAAGGAAGAGAGGAATCAAAAGAGTGAGGTCGAATTGTTCTTAAACGATTGTACGTTCATGTACTTGTGTATTTCTATGGGACATAATTTTTTAGAGATACGATTGGTAGTACAAAGGATGTGAGGGTGTTATATTGAATATATAACATTGTGTTCATCTAGTTTGACCTGAATATATTAGAAAATTGTGTTATTAAATGGGGAAAATTGAATTGACTTGCTTACTAACTAGACATGATTGTTAGATTGTTACAGATCAACAAACTGGCCAGAAAATCCAGATTGTGACAGGACTTGACCATAACACACAAGGCAAGCAGTTCATTTTGACAAATCACGATGGCTCTACTCCAAGCAAAGTCATACTGGCCAGGCAAGATTCCACTCCAGGAAAGGTTTTTCTCACAACTCCAGATGCAGCAGGGGTCAACCAGTTGTTTTTCACAACTCCTGATCTGTCTGCACAACACCTCCAGGTAAATAACTACTGAAATTAAGAAGCATATCATAATTGTAAGTCCTGCTTTAAGACATTATATGTGTACATATTCAATTTTGTGTTTTTTTTTTAAGTCTTGCATAAAATTCAATGTTATATAATAGAATATCTGTGGCGGTGGCCCTCTATTATGGACCACTGTACTTTTGACACAACATTTCACCCATTATTTGTGAGAGTTCTTAGTTGCAGGAAATAAGATCCACTCTGGCTATTTAGATAGGAAGGAATTTTATAAGTGTTTCATAACAGAATTGTTGGAAATATTGAAGAAAAAAATTCTAGGAATGGCTACTTTTGTTATTTGTTTTACACAAGAGGGGAAGGTGTTTACTACATGTACTATATCACATTAAAAAAAAATTAATTTTGTGCTTTATGTTTCAAATGATGAGAAGGTTGAAATATAGCCTAAAGAAGAGACTAGTGTTCCTTTGCCAAGATCCTATTAGCTAGTTCTGATGATGAATTCTTTATATGATTTAAAGAGGCTGAGTAATCTGTTCGTGCCTGCCCCACTTAGTTCCAGTTTGGGTGACTGACTTGCCTACCCTTCATACACCTAACCCACGTCTTACCTCATTCATGAAGTCTTAACCTTTGTATAGTAATCATGTGTGAATTATTATAGCTTCACCAGAAAGCCCTTTGTCTTTCTATAACTCTGTTTTTAAAATTCAGGGTTATCTTTTCATGCTGCTAGTTTATTTTAGGTCATTGCGTGTGGAAAGTTGCTGAGCTCTTCAGAGTAAAGTGTCATAATAGGAGTGATAGGACTGTACTAGGTTGACATGGTCCATATGTATAATACTGAGTGTTGGTAACATGCATTGAAAACACCTCATGTATTTGTATTGAACAGTAGCAGTAGTCTTACTGTGTTAATGAGGATGCTATGTGAAAAATCAGTAATGGTTTAATTTGTCAAATGACATCTCAAAAGTTTAAGAATAACATAAAGAATAAATTACAAAGCAAAAACTGAATGAATGTAATTCTTGAGAGAGTAACAATGTTCTTGAGTAACAGGAATTTATTTTGATTTTTTTAGCTCCTAGCAGATAATTCTTCCCCAGATCAAGGGTCAAATAAGATTTTTGATCTTTGCGTAGTATGTGGAGACAAAGCATCAGGTAACATTAAAAAGTAACCTACTACATGTGTTGTTAAAGTAACTACCTCACTACCATGTTTCTTCTATTAAAAGAAAAATAAAGGAGTATGTCATTTTTATGATGACTATATTTGTATTTGTAGTTTATGAAGTTTGATGGGCTTTCCCCAAAGTTTTTTATTCATCTAAAGATATTTCCTCACTGTAATGTAATTTCATTGAGTTTTGTAATATGATCTTTTAATTACATTTTTCTGTGAAGTTTTTGAAGCTCCCTCATATTTCAAATACTTTTGAAAAATCATAGCTCGTTAAAAGTAAAACATGGGGAAAATACTTTGTATGTGACAGCTAGAGGTTTTGTCTTGACCAAAAGAAACATTTAAAAATAAGTTGTGATTCTTAATAATATATAACATTAAGCTCTGTTACTTTAGGAATACAGAGTATCTTGAATTATTAAAGTCAGATAAAACTCTGGTTAGCCGTATTTAATGCTCTGCATAGCTAACTAAGCAGGCTTTTGTAGACTGGAAAATCTCATAGTTCTAGCTGATACTTTTTGTTGTTTAAAAGGAAGCAGTGGGAGTACTTCATTTCTGCCTTATAATATGTGGGTTTTCTATTTTCTTGAATATTTTGTTTCTAGGGCGTCATTATGGAGCAGTGACTTGTGAAGGTTGCAAAGGATTCTTCAAAAGAAGCATCCGAAAAAATTTAGTGTATTCATGTCGAGGATCAAAGGACTGTATTATCAATAAACATCATCGAAACCGCTGTCAATACTGCAGGTTACAGAGATGTATTGCGTTTGGAATGAAGCAAGACT